ATTTCGTTTATATGTATTACCAAAATCAAAACTTATTACTGTGTAAATGTTTCATTAAAAACTTATAATCCATTAGTTCACGTTTTGTCCAGTGGATTACCAGACTTTATACTCGTATATCGAACTAATAGTGAAACAACTTGTAGCTTCTTATTTTCAAACGTAAATGAGTTAAGTTACTTACTAGTGATGCATGAATTCCGTGCCTAGGCTGATTTAATTTTACCATGAATTTTATCCTGATAGTAATTACTGACGGGTGGCGATGCAGTCAATGATTCGCTTTTTTCACGCTGACTGTTAGTGTTTGAAGTAGAACTGGAATATGAAATTTGTAGCTCTTCATTGTGAAACTCCGCTTCCTGTCTTTATTGGATTACTGGAGTACATAATGCCTTTTTATAATCATCTGATGCTATGTTATACACCCGCATGCCATGGTAAAGAATAAAAATTAACCCATGAGAAATGACTTTGTTGTTGAGATTTATCATTTTAGTTTATCTTTAGTATTCAGTAGATCACCCATTCGGTTTAATTTGTTATACACTTTCTTTTGGTTTCGGCATCTACACTAACTACCACTACCAGAACTCTGAACACCTTGCAGTTTCTCTCTCTCTCTCTCTCTCTCTCTCTGAATCAGCTGGTATAGAGGATAATTTTCCTTGAGACCGAGTTTTAGTGTAAGTTACAAGACTGAGAAACAGAATATCATTCTAACCGGCATCTTCGAATGGAGATAACTTCGTTTTAAGCTACTTGATCATAAAACTATTATTCAATGTTTGCAAAGAACGATCTTAAAGGTAATGAAAAAATTCCCCATCAGAAATTTTATGTGAAATATTTAAATTAATGTCGTTTATTAGAGTCATAAACACGCATACTAATTATTCCACTGACAGATAAGAATTTAAGGTGGGTAGTAACTTTTGACAACCTATTTATAGTACTATTCTACTGGGTCTAATAAACTGAAGTTTAGTTTGCTGCTTAATAATCTGCTTAGTATACCACTGAGTAAAACAACGCGGGTTTCTTAGATTATTTTTTCTTTCACAGCATAGATCATTTACCTAACCACAAAAGGAATAAACTCTTGGTGTTCTGAAACCTTCCTCAAGCTTATAATGATTACATGTAATTCTTTTTCATAGAAGATGGTAAATCAGTTGATTAGGCTGTAAATGTAAGTAGACTGAGATGATTAGCATACAGGTTACGCATTATCTGCTCAGTCGATATACTGTACTATTTGTTGCAGAAGTAGGATGATAAGCATTTGTTCTAACCTAATCGTATTTTTGATTACATGGCTTGTTAAGGTGAGTAGTTGGTCGTTATGAATTACACACATCCAAGCCACCTGTCTGCGAAGATTTACAGCTACAGTGACTGAATTATCTCATTCATCTTTAGCTTGACCTTATCAATTCCCAACAACTTCACCTCATCGTCATAAAATAAGACTAATCCCTTGATGACCAGTTGGATACTCAATCATTCCCAAAGACGCTACAATTTGGCAAGTATCATGTTGGCCTTTTGTATCCATGTTGAAATTTTGTCACCAGCCAACCCATTAAGATTAGTGTAGCTTTTCAAGTAAGGGAAATTGTCAACGCATTCCAACACTACACTTTTATACTTAAACTAGATGTTAGTGAAACCAGTTCTAATATAGTATCTTACATCTGACAGGTGTGAGAGGTCTATCAAATGTACCCAGATTTTGCCCAAGATGTATACTGTCGGCACTTTCACCTGACATGACTATGACATCTACCTATTCCAATCTAATTAGGTGATTTATGGGTAGTAAGTTATACTTGGAGTAGTTGATACAAAGAATTGTCATATCATCCATCAGTGCATCTACATAAGTACACTACAAAAAACAATGATCAATGTGTAAATTATTTACAAATTGCATCATCCATACTGATATTCCTCACAGCTGATTAATCCCACGACAGCTCAACTGCGATTTCAACAGGACTCCCGTTAGAAACTACCTATTCAATATCACAAAGTGTGGTCTCTGAAGCGGAAGTATCACACTTATTCTTTAAAGAAGTACATCTTCCCGTTTATATATTTCCAATATCATGTAAATAAATCATCATCCATCACACAACATCATATTGTACAAAATCTGTGTAGATCAGTACTAATATTGATGAAAAGATAATCCAATGAGGTAGTCGTGAAATGCAGCTGAATATTGTATAAAAAGGTACTAAACCTAATAACAAGTTATCCATTTACAAATAATTCCTTCTTCCGCACAGTTAGTTCTTGCGCGTAATATATCCATCCAGTGTTGTATATTCCTTTTGCCTGACTCTTGACAAGTCGATCGTTATCACTTTTGACACTGCTATGCATACTGCTTATATGCACTAATTATAAGTAGCTCTGATTACACTAATACCATTCATGAATTTGCTAACCAAATAAAAGCTATCGAAATGATAACAAGTAATATAATTGGTATTTTATTGCTGTTTATCGCCTGGGAGAGCTATTTCTGCTAGATTAGAGTAATCAAAACAATGATAATGATGCTTTCTGTCAATCATGACAGGGATGATAGTGCAGATATAATGGCGAAAGTCAAAGCCAGTGACATGCACGAGTTGAAGTTATCCTGTCAATATGACATTTTTAGAAAGTCTTCTGCACTAGCGAACATGTAAACAAACAAAATAAATAAACATTTTGTTTGTTATAAATCAAAAAGTTTACCATTTGTAGGAAACTCTTCTTTACGTAGATAGATGTCATTTACACTTGCTACTTCTAAAATACGGCAGAATTATTATTCAATCTGAATGCTAAATTGCATAAACATATAAATAATCGCAGACTGAAATGAATTAGAAAATCACTAAAATAAGAAACGTAGTGTACAGATTAATAAACCTTACTAGATATTCAGAAGATGGAGGTGGTGACTGCCAGTGAACGCAAAACCTATGTCTACAGCTTTATGTTAACCGCCTCAAACCACTTAAAAGCGATCAAATAACACCACGGTGCTAGACGGCTGCATTACAAAATGACACTTAGGTTTTGACATGAAATTGGTCATCCTCATTCAATCAATCAGTGTTATTAATCCAGTCCTACAGAAGGCCAATCGAGGCCTAAATAGCTAAATGATAAGGTCTACAACCACAGCACTGCGTGACGTCAGCTCAAACCTCTCCCGAGACATTGGTCCCCTTGAGGTTGTAGATACGCCTTACTGACGAGTGCCAACAAGCATGAAACCTAGGTCAAGAGTTTCCAGAAGATCGCCTCTAAACAACTAACCAGAAAAAAGTTGTCCAAAATTCACAATGAACTGGTTTGTTTTGAGGTTAGCTATATATTTGTGAATACAACACTGATGGTAATATTCAGTACTAGCAAATGGAATCTGTCGATGTAGGAACTTCACGATTAGATTCTACTAAAAATGTTAATTAGGAATCATTTTACAGGACAGTGTTTTTAGGCTTATGGAAAATATAGGTTTTCGAGTAAGGACTAACTGTATTATGCAAAAGTTGCTCAATAACAAATAAAACAGCATGTATGCTATGTATGCATCTGCACTACTCAGTCAGCATCAACATGGAGTCTGGCAATATTGTGTAACAGTACAAAGTTGCCATACCTTACATTACTAAAATATACATACGTGTATATGTATCAGTTCATAAAATAAGACACCTTGACTTTTTTGTACAACTAGGTGAAAATTATGATATCACAACGCAGATTCCCAGTATCCTCACAAAATGTGATCAGGAACAAATGTATAAGTGTCAATTCAACAACATTTGTGGTAATTAACGTAACCGGAAAACTTAATGGCTATTGAAAAACTGAAGCATTGTCATTCAAAGCTTCAAGTATAGCTCGATTAATGCATTTATATTCTCTACATTTTGATATATATATATATTACAATACTTATTTTTCTGGTGTCAATAGTTCCATTTCATTTTGATTATTAGGTGTTTCACCCAGTGTTACTAACAATGGAAAACAGAGATACGTAATGAGTTGTAAACAGTGTATTGTGTATGGTAGTTGCACAAGCTGTCACATACTGGAGTTAGTGTAAACCAGAAAAACAACTATATAGTTGACTCTTCTTATTTTGATAATCTCCTGAGTTGTGCAATTCCAATCCATTCCACGAATAAGCTCATACTCTTTGGATCATATAAAAGGTGACTTGCAATTGAACTAATCGATTTAAATCTTATGATTAGGAATTTTCAGTTTTAGAAAATTTTCTCACGGTATGACAATAACCATACTGTAATACAGTTGGCTGCCACAGCTGTCTATTTAACCTCAAATTTTCTGACACTGTAAAAAATAACTCACTGTCAAATGGCAAATATTCACTTATTTAACTGGACATTTGGTAATGGTCAACAATGGACGTCAGGATGCGCATTTCTTCCTATTGTAAACTCTTTGGTTGAATATACACACATTTTAACATGTTAAAGCTTAAAGTGAAACTCAAACCTAGTATGGATCATAATGGACTCTAGTGTAATGTCCACTGGGTCAATGAGCTATGGTAGACACATCTTTTTCAACAAGTATCCATCGTGATTGAAATTTCTTACTTTTTCTTTTTACTAACTTGTACAACTAAATTGATCAGTCTCCAAAGCTGGATGTGCTTTCCTTTTACAAATATCTCGATACTACCAGTAGTTCTGTAGACATTCAACTTGAACCAATTGTCTTGTACCATCTAAATTTGTTCCAGTACCCGAAATTTTGAAGATGACTTCCATGCGAAAAGGAAGATATTAAAACTAACTTTTTGAAATGACAAAATCAAATACATCTTTATAACTTTCAGGTTAAAAAAGAATCAAATAACTGTAGTCGAATCTGATAGTTACCCTACATAAATATGCATATAAACCTACACGCATGTATTCATAAAGAAATATGCAAAGAGAAATGTATTAACTTACTCAGAGTATGAAACAAGAAGACATTCAGAGAAGTATTTCTCATTAGGTTGAATTAAGAGTTCTTGACACCGACTAATGAGCAGTTTAATACGTTCCTGTCGAACCTAAACGAATAATAATCAGAATAGAGTTGAAGTAAATGACTGGTCAGATTATTGTGTAGCATCTTTCTTTCAAGTGAATAGACTATAAACGTCCTGGTTGATGGTAGCTAGCAGTGAAATCCAGGACGCACATTTCGTCCTATTCGGGACTCATCAGCTGGCATCTGCATAGGAGTTCATATGTCAAATGAGACTGACCAATTCGACCCAGTATACCAACAAGAAGTAACAAATATCAATAAATGATAAAGCAGTTTTTTTCGGAAAATAAATAAATGAACCAGTAAATACATTTACAGTGTTTGAAATAAAATAGTTCCAACGTTTCGTGGGAAGTTTGGTTCAAGCTCCTTCAGGGAAATAATGAAACACTGAAATATCAAAAATATATAAATGAATCCAAAGACGCATATTTAATCTCATTGTCCAGTCCTCTTCGTTTAGTCATTGTCATCAACATTCAGTGTCAAATTACATGTCTCTTGTTATGTGGTTAGCGTCTGTGTGTGTGTGTTGTTATTCATATTTTCTTTGAAGGTATCCTGACCAACAATAGACTGGATGGTTTGAAAAAACTTAGGCACCGAGTTAGTATGATTCATTGTATGGGATATATTTTTACTTGTGTAATCCCGGCGTAGTATATTAGAACAAACAACAATAAACAAATATTTCGTATTATTCCTCAAAGTTTCGATCTTGCTAAGAAGATCCTTTTCAAGAGTATAAATCTGACACTAAGTTTTCAGGTTAATATTCAAGTTTTGGTACAGAAAGTGGTGACCTTTACAATCATCCAATTACATAGTGATATGGAGCAAAGATCAATGTAATACAGGTGAGTGAATAAACAACTCGGTCAGAGAGGTTTTTCCGTTGTGCGAGTAAGTTGGAACGAAAATAGGGTGGGGAAACTTTTTCTTTGATAGTAAGTACGAGACAAAGGGTCACAGGTAATATTACAGTCATAAACATCAAGACCATAGTTGTTATGACTGTCCTAGAAGAAGTTGAGCGCGGAGTCTGGTTTAATCTACATGAGAATATATTTTAATATAATCCCTATTTGTTTAGTTTTTATAGACGTTTCACCGTGTAAACCACAGCTTCCTCAGCAGATAAGTACATATGAGGGGGGTTTGTAAGTTAGTTCAGTTGATATCTAGCGTCGAATGGTATTAACGAATTTTTACTGAGTTGTCGGAATAGAGTGAAAATGAATGGTAGTAATCATGCAGTGACAATAATAATAATAATGATAATAATAATGGAGTAAAGCAACCCAGATTGCGTTTTCGCTGATGCAGAGATAATAAAGTTGAGACTGGTGTTAATGGTAAATGCTCGAGTCACTCTATCCGCTTACTAATTAGTAAATTTTACAAGTGGAATTGTGGAATCCGATAAGTTTGAATTGACCTTATAAACAATGTCAGACGAGGATTAGGTGAATGCATGGTTCATGAGTTTATGCCTTTACTTTCATGCTTCATATACATAGCTCTTCTTTCTTTTTATTTCACTGTACTTCAATCCATTTTATTTTCTCATAACAATTTTAATTCTTTTGATCCATATCATGTCACATTTTGTCTGACTGATATTCACACTTGTTGTTTCACCTAATCTTCTCTCAGCTACTTTTAACTGAAGTCAAACCATATTCATTCACTCGCTTGCCTCCTATTTTGCGTCTTTGACCTTTATTTTCCTGTAGTTGTCTAATTGATTCGATGATTCGTGCAATATTATCCTCACTTCTAACAATGCACTTTATGATTTCACCTGTAGAAATTAAAACAAACAAACAAATTTGTTTCAAGTTGTTATTCATCGTAGACTGACATCAGTTGGAGGAACAAAGAAAACCTGGGAGCACTGGACAGCTGTTTCATCCTAGTATGAAACTCCTCAACGGTGCGCACCCACGACCCCGCCTGGGATCGAACCCGCGACCTTCAGGTTCCGCAGCCAGCGCGTCACCATTGAGACACTGGGTGGGAACCCAGTGCTCCATATTTCCAACTTCTGTTAGCTCACGATATAGCGCAACCGCTAACCAATGTCATTGTTGAGTAACTGTCCTCACGGCCATCAGGCTTGACTCCACCGGTCCAGTGCTCCCAAGTTTCCTTTGTTCCTCCAACTGATATCAGTCTACGATGAATAACAACTTGAAATATTTCCAAATCTTCACAACTCCCTCAAAAAACAAATTTGTTATTAATACTAGTCTACCAAACCACGGATATCTCGTATGGTCAAAATGATAGTGTGATGCCGCCCCCCCCCCTCAAATTCAAGTAGATTTGGATTGCGATGAGACCTTAGTGGGCAACCAGTAATGCGTTACGAATTCACATGTTCACCTCGACTTGTATATAATTAGTAATTTCCAAGAGGCAGCTAACTGTACTCCATCTCGTCAGTTTAAACTGTCTGCATTAGCCCATATATATATATAGTCGAACCTTAGTTCCGTCAAAGTCAATTTTGTGGCTCATTTTTATGGGTTAGCGATTTGCTTTCTAACGTCTTAACCTTTCCGTAAGTATGTTATGTGCTTTGCACCATCGAAGTGTTAAGTACGTTTGTAGAAATGACAGGAGCCTTCGCCTGCGCTCACCCTTGGAGGTGAGCCGTTGGAAGTAGTCGAAAAGTTAGTGTATCTGGATAGTTGTGTGAATGCTGGTGGTGAGTGGTGAAATTCCCAACCGCATATCGAATTCAAACTTATGCATATATCCAACAGTTTATTACTAGTAATTTTATCAGACTATTTTTTTCAGTAGACTGACCAAATGATTTAAAGAAATAAGATTAATGTATTTTTGAGATGAATGGGGATTTCTAATTTAGAAGTAGTATTAATCATGGTTAACTAGTTTACTAGTTACTAGCCGGTCCTAAGCCCGGGTAAAGAGGGAAGGTTGGGCATAGGGCTAGCAACCCTACCCCGTAAAACAAATCTAACCGCTAAAGAAACTTCAAAGCACAAACAAAATATAAAAAATGAAAACAAACTTATTCCCCGCTGGAATCGGAGAGGCGAAATGACGCCAGTTGGTGAAAGCCTTCGGGAAGCCAATTGGCCGATGTGTCTTCTCTCGATGAAAGCGAAAGTAAACGTGGGGACATGGAATGTCCGCACGATGTTTGAACCCAGTAAGGCAGCCCAGATTGCAAAGGAGATGAGAAGGTATAACATCGAAGTGCTTGGGATTTGCGAAAGCAGATGGAATGGGAGTGGACTCTCCAAACTGTCAACGGGAGAATCAATAATCTACTCCGGTCACCCAGACGCCAACCACGAGCACACTGAGGGAGTGGCTATCATGATGTCCTCAAGAGCATCGAAGGCTCTCATGCAGTGGGAACCAATCTCCTCCAGGATCATGTCAGCAAGATTCAACTCAAAAGGAAGAAAGGTCACAATCATACAATGTTATGCACCTACAAATAATGCAGAGCAAGAGAAAAAGGAGGAATTCTACAGACAACTTCAGTCAACACTGGACAAGACGTCAGTTGGCGATATCAAAATTCTAATGGGCGACATGAATGCCAAACTGGGAGGGGACAACACGGGAAGAGAACTAACCATGGGTCGAGAGGCGCTAGGTGAAATGAATGAGAATGGAGAATTGTTTGCAGAATTCTGTGCATTCAACGATTTGGTGATTGGAGGCAGTGTGTTCAGGCACAAGGATATCCACAAAGCGACATGGATTTCACCAGATGGACACACTAAAAACCAAATCGACTTTATCTCAATCTCAAGAAAATGGAGACGCAGTCTACTTAACACAAGGTCAAGAAGAGGAGCAGATGTAGGTTCAGACCACTATCTAGTGCAAGGAACCTTCCAAATCAAGTTAAAAGCCTTCAAGGAAGCTGGTGATAGACCTCAATTCAAGTACAACACTCGGAAACTGAAGGATGAAACTACAAAGGAGATCTTCAAAGCAGCCATCAAGACAAAATGGGAGACGTCGAGGGACATCCCTGAAGAAACCTGTGTAGAAGAACACTGGAAGTCTTTGAAAGCTATGTGGAAAGAAACCTGCACAACAGTATTAGGAAGGAAGAAGAAAGAAGACAAGGAATGGATCTCGACGGATACCTGGAAGCTGATAGAGGAGAGGAGGATGGTGAAGCAGAAGATAAACCAGTGCAAGGATGCTCAACGACAAGAGGAACTGAGCACAATGTATAAAACACTGGATAAAGAAGTGAAGAAGAGTGCACGCAAAGACAAACGACACTTCTACGACACACTGGCAAGTGAAGCAGAACAGGCTGCAGGTAAGAGAGACCTGACGACATTGTATCAAATAACCAGGTTGCTATCAGGGAAGAGACCAACACAGATGAAACCAATAAAAGATGAAGAAGGAAATTTAATTACAAAAGAAGAGAAACAGAGGAAACGATGGGCCGACCACTTCAAGAAGCTCTTGAATCGACCACCACCTGCACTTCGTCCAGAAATACCACCTGCAGCCGCTGAATTACAAGTGAACATAAATCCCCCAACGAAAATGGAAGTCCTGAACGCCATAAAGCTACTGAAATGCGGGAAAGCAGCAGGACCAGATGGAATACCGCCAGAAGCACTGAGAACAGATGCAGAGACAACAGCGGACATGCTCACACCACTATTGCAGAAGGTGTGGAGGGAAGAGAAGGTACCTGACGATTGGAAGAAGGGTTACCTTGTCAAACTGCCGAAGAAGGGAGACCTCAGTGCTTGCAAGAACTGGCGAGGAATCACTCTCCTATCCACCCCAAGTAAAATATTAAGCCGCATCATCCTGGAGAGGCTTAAAGACGCACTGGATTCAAAACTGCGACCGGAACAGGCAGGCTTCAGGAAGTACAAATCATGTGCTGACCAAATTGCAACGCTTCGTATCATCATAGAACAGAGCGTAGAATGGCAATCAGCTCTATACCTCAACTTCATCGACTTTGAGAAGGCCTTTGACAGCGTCGACCGAGAAGTAATTTGGAAACTGCTTCAATACTACGGAGTACCGCAAACCTTTATCCGCCTCATTCAACAACTATATGAAGATGCCACATGCCAAGTAATCCACAATGGGAAGCTCAGTGATGCCTTTGAAGTGAAGACAGGAGTGAAACAAGGTTGCCTACTATCCCCCATGATATTCCTAATTGTGGTGGACTGGATCATGCAGCAAACAGTAGGCAGCGAGAAGAGGGGGATACACTGGACGACGGAAAAGAACCTAGAAGACTTGGATTTCGCCGATGACTTATGCCTAATGTCACATAAACTTGAAGATCTGCAGGCAAAAACTAACAAGTTGACAGAGGAGGCAGCTAAGACGGGACTTCAGGTGAATATAGAGAAGACAGAAGTGATGAAGATACCGCACCACCACCATCAACAACAACAACAAACTCCAATCACCGTCAACGGTAGAAACTTGAAGGAAGTAACCTCCTTCACTTATCTAGGAAGCACTGTTTCAACTACAGGCGGGACGGACGAGGACGTCAAAGTCAGAATCGGAAAAGCAAGACAGGCATTCATTAGCCTGAAACCAGTGTGGAGATCTTCTGCACTCAGCATGCGGAACAAGATACGGATTTTCAACACCAACGTCAAGTCAGTGCTCTTGTATGGCTCAGAGACTTGGCGCGTCACGAAAGGCATTTCCAATAAACTACAGACATTCATCAACAACTGCTTACGCTCGCTGCTGAAGATCAGATGGCCAGAAAAAATAAGCAACAAGGAACTCTGGGAACGAACCAACCAAGAACCTATCACGCAACAAATATGCAGGAAGAAGTGGAGATGGATTGGGCATACACTGAGAAGGCCGACTGAGGACATCACGCGTCAGGCCCTCGAGTGGAATCCCCATGGGAAGCGACGAGTTGGACGTCCGAGGGTGACATGGAGGAGGTCGTGCGAGGAGGAAATGAGAGCTTCTGGGCTGTCGTGGAACCAGGTTCAAAAGATCTCAGAGAACAGAGGTCACTGGAGGCGTGCTACTGAAGCCCTATGTTCCACTAGGAACCCAAGGGACTAATAATATAAATAATAATAATTAATCATGGACTGACATCAATTAAGGAACCATTGAAAGTCTGGGAGCACTGGACAGTTGCTTCATCCCAGTACGGGACTCCTCAGCAGTACGCACCCACGACCCAGCTAGGGATCGAACCCGGGACCATCAGGTCTCACGGCGAACGCGTTAACCATTCAGCCACCGGGTCGGTTCCCAGTGGTTCACAATTTCCAACTTCTGTCAATTCACGACATAGCGCGACTGTCACCCAAGGTCTTCCTTCAGTTAGCATCCACTTCACTTCCGACTGGTTGACCCCACAGATCACGGCTTCTCATTAGAACTTTTTGACATCCATCTGGAAGCAAGTCACTAATGAGCGCCATACAATAATATATTTTTGAGATGAATGGGTGACAGTCGCGCTATGTCGTGAATTGACAGAAGTTGGAAATTGTGAACCACTGAAAACCGACCCAGTGGCTAAATGGTTAACGCGTTCGCCGTGAGACCTGATGGTCCCGGGTTCGATCCCTAGCTGGGTCGTGGGTGCGTACTGCTGAGGAGTCGCGTACTAGGATGGAACAGCTGTCCAGTGCTCCCAGACTTTCAATGGTTCCCCAACTGATGTCAGTCCATGATGAATACTACGTCTAAAATAAGATTAAATACGACCTCACTGACTCATTGGTTGAAAATGTCACAGCTTGACTGGAGAAAGCAAATCTTAATGACCTTGAGTTGATCGACCTTCTAGCCGTTATCATCCTGTGACTTTACTAAACATTTCTGATGGCTGTGTGTTGACATATTAATTGTTGGTGCGTACGTATGCCCTTGTAACTATGGTTACCATTTTACAGCTTTTGAAAATGATTCGTCGAAAAAAATTTTTTCTCGCTGAATTATCGCTTGATAGTTTCTCATTATCTAATGGGATTATTTCGATTATTGAAATCAAACTTACAATTTGATTATCTGAGATAGCCGTAGTTTGGCAGACTAGTATTTGTACTGGATGATGATTGAAGGTCCAGATTTTCATCTCACTTTCAATCATCGCCCAGTAGAAATCAAATTTATCAGATTACAATATAGCAGGTTTTCTAGTATTGCAGGGAATAATGACCGCCAGTCTGATGAAATATACTTCGATTATAAACTTTTCTATAAAAAAATTTCACCTTTTTGAAACTTTTTAATTAAATCTTTGACCTAATAATAAATAGTAAGACATAGTTGATATAACAATAACAGCAACAACATTAATGTGCATGTGTGCCTACGTATGTAAGCACAGTCATGAAGAATATGGATAACAAAAAGACAACTTGATAATAATTAGTGACACAGAAGCACAGGAAGCTGCTAAAATATATCACGGATTATAAAAGTTACCTTGTGAAGATGAACACGAAGCAAGATAAGGGGGAAAACAGAAAGCTAGCAACGATATGGGCAAAACTGAAGGGAAATGAAAGTGCAATCAAGGACTCATTCTTCTCTCATCCCGAAGGCACGAACATTTTTGTGGATGTGCTGACTTAACAAGAAAGATGAGTTATTTTTCTCACCAAGTTAATCTTTTATTATGAAATGCAATATGAAAAGGGATAGATAAGCCGGTAGGTATAAAATTCGTTTTTCTTCTTAAAATCTACGCTAGTGATCATAGCCGATCATCATCTTCAAGGTCAACATAGGACCAGGCATTACTGCGTAATGGTTCAAGATGCCACACTTCATATCACCACATCAAGCAACAAGTCAATAAAATAGATGAAGAAGGAAAGAAAAGTCGGCCAAAGGAATTAGAAGTAGAAAGTAGTAAGAGACAAGAAGGAAAAATGAGTTAATGAGATTAAGTATAGGGGTTAATGTGAGGATAGTGTGTGTATGCATCTGCACCACTGACATCGGTTCTAAGCTATATCACCTAAAGTCTCCAACCACTGGTTCATCTTGTCCTGTGGACCCGAACCGGCTAGTCTGCATCACCCTAGACGGCTCAAATCAACAGTCAAGGACTTTATGTTTTGATGCCATGTTTCAGTCTGTCTCGTTCCCCGAGCCTTTCTCTAGCATGAACCTACTTCAGCCAACATTGTGTGGCAAGGCAGATGGTGGCTAGGCATATGTAACATATGTCCCAGTCATCTCAGTCGATGAAGGTTCACAACAGCATCAACTGTCTTACCTTTCTTGTCTAAAACTCTACGTCTGACTTCTGTGTTACTCACGTGGTGACACCACGAAACAAGGCCTATGCTACGAAAGCAACGGTGGTCGAACACCTGAAGCCCTCTCATGTCTTCTGCCGTTAATGCCCATGTTTTATAGCCATACAGCAGAACAGGGTGGACTGCAGCACAGTACACTCGACCCTTAATAAACAATCGGACAACGTGGCGGCGCCACAGATGGTATTAGTTGGGAAAAGTCAACTGAACCTTTTGTATCAGTGCAGAAATTTCGTCGGCCAATGACCAACTCACCAGGGCTGATCTGGCTTCCCAGGTAATTGAAGTGCCGAACGCAATCGGCCGATTCACTCTATATTGTTGGTCAGAGTACCGTTGAAGACCAGTCCTGGAGTAACAATTTGCATTTGGGTGGCGAGAAATGCATCCCAAACATTCTCAAATTGCCACTCAAGGTGTCCAAAAGACTGCATCTCGTCAGCGTCTTCACCTAACAGGACTAGATCATCTGTGTGTTGAACATACTTCTTTTGCAAGCAGAGATCAGGCTTGAATTGATGAATTGCCAGTGCTTCCGCTGTGCACAACTGTCCAAGGCGCACTGCTTTTGAATTATTCCATCTGACACGATAAATGACATTGAAGGAAGACTCTGGTCTAGTTTTATGTCCAGAACTGACCGAATGTTCAAGAATTGAACTGTTAATTGATTTACATTCTCCCCTCGACAACCTTGCAGGATAGTGCTTCGAGATACGTTTGGAAAGCGTGCGCTTTGTGTAGCCTAGCTCCACAGGAGCAAGTAAATTTGTGGACACACATCGGGGTGGCCCAAAGTGGCAACTTGTCCTTAACGCACTCCGGAATGAGTTGTTGACTAGAGAAGCTGATCTGTAGTTTTCCCTTCCTCGATATTTCTATTGTCTTACTTTATTACGCAACTACTTTGCATTCTTGATTCGGGTTTTTTAGCACTAGGTTAATGATGCAATTATACCCTATTGTTTTATAATAGACTGTTATATGTTTATGATATATATAAATACGATTGTACAACTTAAGAAAATGACATCGTCGAAAAAGAATATTTTCTTCGCTGAATTATCTCATTCTGATACATTAAACAAACCTAGAAAAGACCAGGTATATCAATAAAAGGTCTCTGGTTTGTGGAATGGATTAATGTATTACAAACAAGTTTGTCGTGACAAGTTTGCAAGAGATGGTAAGTTTTTTATATTGGGCAAAATTATGGGGTTTCTTACTTGAGTTGCTAACCTTAATGTTTGATACTACTGGACATTAGTAAGTAGCACAATAACTCTTACTAAACACTATCCTACGCTTTTCTTCAATAATCCTTGAATGAATGAATGCTCAAGAGGTAATTTGTTGCTTTCTCAAAAGATTTATTTTTCTGAAGATAAACAAAAAAGTATGCGAACATAGCAGAGTTACGAGATTATTAAAAACTGGAAGATATAGCAAGTTGAAGATATAGAAAAGAAAACAGAAAACAACACAACTAAAACTAATATTTCTCACTTGCAGTGAAGCAGACTCTAAACCCGATCCATTGCAAAACATTGTCATTTCAGAACTCTGCTCATTTCCAATGAATAAATCAATTGCAGCCTGACGATTTATCTCACGAAGGCGTAAATAATAACTGTATGTTAATAACAAAATTCAGAGCGAAAATAAAAAACAAATATGGCGGTAATGAAAAGATGGAATATCTTATTTAAATTCTTTCTGAAAAAGGTACACACAGTTTATCATAACAGTCAATTTTGTGATTACTCATTTCTGATTGAAAGGATCAGTCCGTCATCCTTTCTATCAAAATGAAATTGCCAGTTACATTTAGATATCTCTTTTTACAAGAAATACCAAGTCATCAAATCCAACGATATCTATCACACTAGAAGTGACTATCACAACACAGTAGCCTAATGGACAATGCTCTGGCATTTGAAGCAATGAATGACAACAATTGGGAACAACAACATTAGAATGCAGGTACGTCGAAGTGATGAGTCTCATACAGGATGCAAAATATACATTCTGGATTACAATGATATTCAGTATTCAACTATGCTAATAAAAAAGTCAGTTTTGTTGAAAACCGATTTGTAAATAGGATAAGAATTTGGTAGTGTAAGTAGAAGTTTTAGAATGATTTTTATACAATGCATACTAAAACTTTCTCTTCACTTTTATTATTATTATTATGACTCTAATAATGTATAGTTCCATCTATCAATCCAAATGAACATAGGACCAGGCATTACTGAGTAACGGTCCGAGTTGCCACATCAAGTAAAAAGGCAGTGAAGTGAAAGATGAAGATAAGAAAACTCAGTCAAAAGAAATATAAAGTACGAAAAGAGAGAAAGAGAAGAATGAAAAGATAATGCGATTAAGTATAGGGGTTAATGTGAGGATAGTGTGTGCATGCATCTGCGCCACTGACATCGGTTCTGAGCTATATCACCTGAAGTCTCCAACCACTGGTTTATCTTGTCCCGTGGATCCCACACGGCTAGTCTATAATGTATAGTCAATTGAACCACTTAACACAATGGTGATTTCTACGGTTTACAATTCACTCCTACTCCCACCATCTTTTATTATCTATCCACAGAAAAAATAAGACTGAGAAACTGAAGTATATGATGACTGTCTTTGCTTCTCCCACACTGTCAGCAACTTATCATGATTAATGATCATCCCTCCTAACTCTTTATGTGCAATCTCAGTCGACTAATCATTGCATTTAGGATACATATATAAGCCATCCTAAGACTAAAAAACTCCTAAACAGCCCCATAAAATAGTGAGATGGTTGTCCGATGCTCCCAGGTTTCCAACAGTTCTCCAACTGATTTCAGTCTGTGATGTATACTACCTTAAAAATGAAATCCCCATTATCCACGAAATACATTACTGTATACTGCTCATTTGTGACATGTTTCGAGATAAATATCTCCAAGTTATAATGAGTAGCTGAGACCTGTGGGGTCAACTAGTCGGAAATGAAGCGGATGCCAGCTGAAGAACTCGGTAGATAGTCGCACTACATTGTGAATTGAAATAAGTGAGAAACAGCAGACCACTGAGCTCCGACCTAGTGGTTGAATGGCTAACACAGTCAGCCATCTTGTGCACACCGAGCAATGAGCCACATCTATTGTGTGAAAGCAAGTGACACTACCTGGCTTCAAAGTGTAGAGATTAAAGTTTTGTTACGCTGATCGTCACGGTGAAAAGCCTACGAAATTTTACTGGACAACTAAAATGCATCTATTAAGGCATGCACTACCTAGCATAAGTTGCTACAGTCTAATTATTAACAGTTATCAACAGCCTTGGTGTTTCTTTCGGATGGCAGAGGGTTATAAAAATTAGCTAGTCAGTTGAAGTATGAGTGGAAAAATGAAGTGACTTTGAAGGTCACCCTAGCAACTACTGAAAACAAATTACGTTCTTGTATTCTATAGAAAAATAACTTCCTAGTCAAAATTCCGAAATCCGACTGATTAACTTGGCAGTTGCTAGGGTGGTCTTTAACATCGAGTAGCTTTGTAGGCCACGCTAGCAACTACTGAAATAGCCAATCAGCTTTCGGTGTTTCGGCTGCGACGGCAGTTATTTTTAAAATAAAGGAACATGATCGGTTATCTCAGCAGTTACTAGGATGGCCTTTAAAGTCACTTGAATAATTTGATGAATTAACTTGAAGGGTGACTTTAAAGGCCACCCTAGTAACTTTCCAGATAACCAATTACGTCTCTGTTTAGTAGAAAACTACTCTCTTAGGTGAAATATCTAAACCTGATTGGTTATTTCATCAGTTGTTAGGGTGCCACCTTTAAAGTCACTCAATTTCAATCCTGGCACTTAGACTTAGACTTAAACCTTTATGATACCGGTTAATACCGACTGACCAATCAGAACACTTATTTCTAAGTTTTACATGAAGACAGGCTACGTTGTTAACAATTTGGTGGTGACGCCTGTAACTGAAGCATTGGATGGAACATTGGATCGGAGACCCTTTAGCCGAATATTATCGTCTGAAGCAGTAGCAGTATCTTTTCGATGACCGTAGTGAAGTGAAGTTACCATGCAGCTGATCCAACTTCTATATACCTACACAAGTATTCAATAATAAAGCTGAAAATCTTTCCCCTCAGTGATCGATATGTTTACTTTTATGAAGAATAATTTAGTTTATAGATAGTCAAGGGTTCAATTCAAAAAGAGAATAACATTTTCTGACGGAAAAATTAACGAACAAACAAACGGATGTTTTTCTTCCCCTTTATTTTTACAACAAGATATCTATGAAACATGTTTTAATAGGCAAAACCAAAAATCAGTGATTTAATTGTCTGTTTAGTAGTTAAATCAATTATTAATCAAGGTTATGATCAGAAGTGATCACAAAATAATTAGAATTGATTGTTTTCACTGCCTTATCATTTATTTTGTTCATTTGACTTATAGGTGTTTATTAATATGAAGTGTGTCAACTTGGATCAATATTGCAGTTAATCAGGTTGCTATGCCCCTGTTGTTATTCTCTGGGTGAACTCAGCTTTAGCTGATTTTAAGCATCTACTCGACCATTTCCAACACTACTACTACTACTACTACTACTACTACTACTACTACACTTACAAAAAAACAAATAAATAAACAACCATCTAGTGTTTAAATCATGCTGATCCAACATAGGAAGACGCTAAATGATACCGCTGTTGTCAACTTGTTTTTCTGTGGTAGATATGAAATTCAGGTGTTTCATATCTCATAAGACGTTCGATTTATAACTCCCTTTCAAACAGCGTTTCCATAGAAACCAGTTCAATCATTTCTGTGTTACAATCCCTTATCTTTTAATATCCAATTTCCATTTCTGAAATGACTGTCTATTAGCGAGAATTAATTAATTAAGGTGCTTAAGTTCAATTTCCGAGTATAAAATGACTTTTGCATTTTCGACTGACGGTTCGTCATCGTAGATTGATTGATTTCAAGCTAATCTTCATTACAGATTGACATTAGTTGGAGAAGCAGTAATGAAACCAGGAAATACTAAACAGCTGCCTCCTCCAAGTTTAGGACTCGTCAGCGGTGCCTACCCATCATTCAGTGAATGACCGAGTCTGGAGATGTCCATTTCTTATAGTGATCACTTAATTCCAAACCAGTAACTGAATGGTGATATACTTGCTAATCTAACTCGAGACCATCAGCTTTCACAGCAGAAACTTTTCTGTTCAGTCATTAGCTTGAAAGAATCAAATCCCACTTATGTTATTTCATTGTCTGTAAATTAGTGCACCAATATGCATGTGCAAATATCGGTGAGTTAGACTACCGCTACTACAGGGATAGTGAGCAGTCGACTTGTCTACATATGTACCGAGAGGGAAATCCTCGTGACTAATTATGGCGGAATGGTCCGAATGACATGCTAGAATTTACTTCGTCGTGGTTAGCAGTGAAATCCATAAAACACGCTTCATCCCATTTCGGGGCCCACCAGCTGGACACACCTTCACCCCAGTGAGTGAAAATGTCCCCTCTAGGACTCGAACCCCAAACCCACAGCTTCAAACACCAAAGCGTTATCCATTAAGTCACTTAAATCTTGGAGAGAGTAGGCAACTAATAAATTAAGATTATGAACAAATTAAAATCATGTGATAGTTCTATTCATAACAGAGAACATATGTAAATAAAAAAACGATAAAATACAAGCAAATGAATAATGCTTCACAGAACAATAATTTAAAACAAAATACGATTTTACCGGCTGACTGAATAGACTCCATCACGCATTAGACCATTGACTGTTCGTGAACCCGTTCGAGTATAATCACCCTGGAAAAATGAGGAAAATAAATACGCGTCATAGTATTTCAGGCAGCATTACGCAGTCCAGAGTACGAGTACACAAGTCTACGGTACCTGATCAGTCGATTGATCGATCGAGTTCTCAGTGCAACCACTAAGCTAATTGACGCAAAACTGGAGTGTACTGTATTTTGGTGTTACATGACATTTCATCTTCAGAAAGGGTATGAGTAGGTAGATTCTTACCCAAGATACACTGTGAGCAGAATATCACAAAGGAATTACCATGGAGAGTAGACGGGTAGTAGAGAGTTTTAACACGGTTTCACAGTCTACCAAATGGTACTAATAGTAATAATATTCTTTATAATGAGTGTAGTTCAACCGGCTGAAACAGAAATATTAGTCTTAAAGTAAAGATGTGACAAATAAGAATATCTTCATTGCGAATATTTCATTCACAAAAGCTAGACAATCATATTCAAAATCACCAAAAATTCATACTATAATTCAGAGACTTGGTGTGTTACGAAAGGCATTTCCAACAAACTACAGACATTCATCAACAACTGCCGACTACGCTGGCTCGTTACTGAAGCTTAGATGGATTGCCAGAAGGAATAAGTAACAAGGAACGCTGGCATGGCGACGAACCAACGAAGAACCTATCAGCCAACAAATATACAGAAAGAAGTGGAGATAGGTTGGGCATACATTGAGAAGGCCGACTGGGGACATCACGCCCCAAGCCAGGCACTCGAGTGGAACATAAATGGGAAGCGACGAGTTGGGTATCCTAGCCGAGGGTAACATGGAAGAGATCGTGTGAGGAAGAAATGAGAGCTTCTGGGCTGTTGTGGAGCCAGGTCCAAAAGTTCGCAGAGGACAGAGTGCACTAGAGACGTGCTACTGAAGCCCTATGTTCCACAAGGAACCTAAGGTAAAAATAATGATAATAATAAATTATAATTCAAAAGCTATTTGAGTGACCACAGATTATTCTTTCCGATAACTTCGTCGTCTTCGTCTCTTCTTCTTCAAGTTCTACACGTATTACACAATCGTGCATCAACAATATTGAGATTTCGCTTATCAGTTTGTGAATGATATTATACAGTTGAGGAAATCAATTGAGAAAGTTTTGTATGAACGTTAATGACAGAATCAATTAGTACTGGGATTCAATTCAAAATAATTGACTGTGTAAACCATAATACGGCGTAGGTAGTATACGGTGTAGGCAACGCTATAAGGTGACAGTTTAATAAAACAATAGGAAGGTGTTTATGAGAGTTGGATGACATATACTAAGAAAGATAATTTGATAATTTGATGAATAATGGCTTGATAGAATGTTACTTATGTTGGAGGACAAAATAGATTAAGAGAATGTGCTAAAATTATTTTGGATTGTAGGGATGAAGGGATATCTACAGGGTGAAATTGGAGAATTAGATTACTTGGGATAGGATGCTAAGGAATTTGTGCGTCTCCAAGTGGGGCCATGGTAGTTGCAGTGGCAATATTTGCTTTTTTGAACACATAGGTCCAGTTATTTGATCCCGGTTACTTCTGCTTCTGCAATCTTGAGAACTTGGAGCTGGATATCTTTTGGCAAGTTGATGGGAACCCGGTAAAGAATGGGAAATGATTTATTGATACCCATCTTATGGTTCGTTCCAACTAAGTATGCCAATACCGGAGTGGTATTCTAATTTTCTTATAGCGTTGCCTACACCGTATACTACCTACGCCGTATTATGGTTTACACAGTCAATTATTTTGAATTGAATCCCAGTACTAATTGATTCTGTCATTAACGTTCATACAAAACTTTCTCAATTGATTTCCTCAACTGTATAATATCATTCACAAACTGATAAGCGAAATCTCAATATTGTTGATGCACGATTGTGTAATACGTGTAGAACTTGAAGAAGAAGAGACGAAGACGACGAAGTTATCGGAAAGAATAATCTTTGGTCACTCATATGCATTTAAAATCACTGGAATTCAATAAAACCGGTTTCTAATCAGTCGGCACACGTGATTAACATAATGTTAGGGAGTAGAAAGGGAGAAGAGAATCACTACTCTGGTTATGCTAAGGTTAATGGATGCAGGTAATGCTTTTGAACAAAAAGATTAAGTATAAGGTTACCAATTGTCAATGATTTGACTGTGCATAGATGCCGCACTCAGAGGCTTTGGAAATGTGTGCTGGTACTCTGTAAATTAGTCTGAAGGAGCTGCTACTAGCAGATACAAAATATTTGAAGAGGATAAGGTGTTCAAGAACAGAAGTGATGATATTTTTCCCTTCTCCCTTGGACAAAGAAGCTGAATAATGTTTTTAAATACAATTAAGGACTACTTTTTCACGTTATAGGTTCAGTGATTAGAATGTCTGTTGCAAACTTGATGAAACTGACACAGCTGAATACTTTTGACTTCTATCGAACGAATAGTCGTACTTTGAAGGAGTTCAACAAATGTTGAAATCCATAAAAAATCAAGCACTTGTAGCTTTCTACTTTAGTACTACGTAGCAGTACACAATATTATCCTTGATTCAATCAAACTCAAGAATTACGACATAGTATGGATTCACTTTTTCTCACTGAAATAACACCTTTTCGAAATCTTTACAATTTTCCTCCCTTTCAAAAATATATTCCTTTTTTGGTTATATCACTAATATGTACGATTTTTATGTAGGTATTTATAACACGCTGATACCGAAAATGCGGTGTCAAATCAAACTGAGTATAACATTACGCAAACAGAAACTGATAAATAGAAGAAGCAGTTTCACACAAAACCATACCTCTTCAAAGTGTTACACTTCATGATAACACAGGAGAAGAATTCGAAAAACAGGAAAGATCATTATAAAATATTTTGATACTATTCAAGTGTTGATATTGGGTGAGGATGAAGGCGAAGTGAGAATCCGGGCTACGACGGGGTTTGAACAAACAATCACAGGATTTCCGGCCTTGTACTCTACCAAATGTGCTACAATACCCGACTGCTGACCATATTTTTATTTCACTTTAATCACCTAGAGTTTTGTCCTACTGCCATGTGATATGTTACTACCACGTGGTTTGAATCCTGCTAAGGTGCAAGTTTTCAATTCAGCTTCAATCATCACACAGTATCAATACTAGTGTGTTTAGAAAGAAACTGAGATTCGCTTGAATGGGATCAGAATTAATTTGGAAATAAAAACATTGAATTATTTCTTATGTACGTACAAGCTCATAGACGAACGTCGTATGTACATCTCATACGTTACTACAGGTGACAAAACAGCAAATATTTTAAAATGATTAAATCACAGCCTAGTTTTCAAATTTTTTGAGGAAATTTGAGACACCAATAATCTGGGTATTTGAAGGCAAAATGAGATTAACGTAACCAAAATGAGAGACGAAAAATAAGCAGTAACTGGTAAAGATAATGATGGATAGTAGCTAGCAGTGAAATCCAGGACTCGCATTCAGTCCTATTTGGGACTCGTCAGCTGGATGTATCTGCCTCACAGTGAGTGATGTTGTTCCCACTAACACTCGAACTCGGGGCCGATCACTTCAAATGCCAGAGCCTTATCCACTAGGCCAATGAGTTACGATAGCCAATTCTTGTGCGACGGGTATAGTTTTAATTTTGTCAAGTGTATTATCCCCTCGTTCGGTTCAATCAACGACGTGAATGATTTAGAAGAGTTTAAGATTAAGTATATGGTTCAGTTTACAAGCTTAACATAGAAGCTTTTGGTTAGCAAAACATACTAAGTGTCTCAGTATGAACATTAGGAACCTGTGTATATAATAGTGAACTCGGTTTCACAAGCTCTTACATGCAACTTATTGGTTGACGAGCTATCAACATCAGTGGCATGAGAAACAGTGTTAAGAGAGGGAAAAGAAAGTTGAATACATGTTAACATTTAGGCAGATTGCAATCCTATGGAACATCAATAACTTTACGGTTCCCAGGGAATCAACAACGGTCTGGCTCGACTTGTTCCCCTAGCCTGCATAATACTGATTAAGACTAGTCTTAGAAGTTGTTTCATATGAGACTACTCATCATTGTATGAGGAGAAAGTCCACTCCTAAGGTATATGGGTATTCACAAATTCAATCGTAGACAGTGTCTAGTAGTGGAATCCAGGACCGGTGTTTCGTCCAATCTGGAACTCGTCAGCTAGATGAATCTGGCTTCTAAGGAATGATACTATTTCGCTAAGACTAGAACCCAGGATCGACGGCTTCGAATGCCCGGGCCCTATCCACCAGACCACTCAGTCACGACAACCGCTACTTGTGGGACGAGTATGTCTCTGTCGTTGATTAGACTGAATTAATCAACAACTAATGGGATATGGACTCCTGTGCGAATGCGTCAATGTTGTTGGAATTTTCAGTTTAGATATTAATGATGGCTAGTGACTAGCAGTGGAATCTAGGACACGTGTTTCGTTCTAGCCACTATCCATTATTAATATCAAACTGAAAATACCGGTAGTATTTAGGCATCCACACAGGAGCCCAAATGCCAATAGTGGTCGATCAGTTAGGTCCAATCAACGACCGAAAATTACAAATTACAACATTAAACCCAATCTAATTGTTATTTTTGTGATCTAATTGTGTATACAGTGAGACAACAATATTGAGGGAAAAACCCTTACTATATGTAAACTGTATACACACAACACACACACACATGCACACGCACACACGTTTATGTAGTTACTTGTGCGAGTTTATTCTGATTTCGTCACAAATGTCTTCGACAGATAATCATGACAGCCCTTAGTTGAAAAATCCATGATATGAGTTTTATTGAAAACTGAAAAGTATTCCACTCAATGAAGAAGTAAGTTTAAAGGTCACCCGAGTAACGACTGATATAGCCAATTAGATTTCTTTGTTTCGGTTGGAAAAGCAGAATTTCATAAAACCAATAAATCTAACTGGTTATTTCAGTTATTGTTGGGGTGAAACTTCTAGAGT